AACTATTTTGACCCTTAATGTATCATAACAGTTAACAAAAATTGAATGATACCTATAGATCATAAACGCAATACCCCTCAGAATAATAACAATATTCTCTTTACAACTTCTCCATTCAAAGTGACACATTTTCATGCCGGTTGAAGTTTTTTAATAATATTTTTATTAAGTTAGTGCCAAAAAACATCACACAGGATGGGGTAACATTACGCTCGTTCAAATTATTCCAACAGAAGCTGTGACTACAAAAATTGTACCTACATACAAATACAGCTGCACCGGGAAAAATGATTGAAATCTACCTCGGAATTTTCATTTCGAACGAAGAAAATTACTTCAGTTTTATTGAAAATATACTTTCTCTATTGAATAATTCACATCCCCGAGCGTTATTTCAGTAGGCAATGTACTTTTCATTGAGAATTTAATATTCATCTAATATATGTGTGAAATCATAACGTATTATTTCATGTGAAGAGAATTACTAACTGGACGATGGGTATTTCCCCTTAGTGAAATGTAAATTTTCGCCATCTCTTTATCGAATGTAAAATTACGCTTGTATTTGTGAGCGATTATTGTATTGTTCATTCTTGTCTACAGAAGCGCATCGGTTTGTCTGACGTGTGTATTAGAATATTTTTGTTGTTGGTGAAAATAAGTAAAGAAGGTGAGTACATTTCTTGTAAAATTTCAATAACTAGTCCAATAAACAGATGAATTCATTGAGTTTTCTCGTTATGCATTATAGAGTGTTTTTTATTACAAGTATATCCTAACCTCACATCGCGAATTATTTCATACTATATGGAATAGTGCAACATATTTTAACTGATTTTCAAATAATTACAGAACATATATTTGAAAATGTTTGTGATAATTACTGAATGGTATTGAGAAAAAGAGATATATTCGATAGCAGTGGCGTGACTCATCAGTGACGCCGTATGCACGATCCATTTTAAAAATGAATTTCTATGAGGAATAAAGTTTCGTATTGGTGGTTGCAAATATCGGACAATGTTGAATCGTAATTTCATTCACCTAAAAAATATCTGAACGTTTCATTCGTATCTCTCATAATTTTGGATAAATTTGAGGATTTGTGATTCTTATTATTGAACTTGAAAACATTTTTGCGATGGGAGGCAAGTTGGAACTCAAAATTGAAGGAATCGAGAAACACTTTAGGACCTTTTTGTTTCTGTTGAAGAGGTGAACAAAACACTTCATCACCACTTCATACCATATCATTATAGCTATATTTGCTATATTTCAGAAAATGTTGGAAAACATTTGGAAAAATCTAATTTTTTATTTAAACGGTTGAATATGTATCAAAAATTTTTGAGAAATATTAATATTGAAGTCAAACTAGTAGTAGTTTTTCTCTAGGAATGTGTGTTCGTCAACTTTGTTTTTAGATTTCTAAACCTATTCATTTGATGATATTTCATTTCTCTTTTAGGATAATAATAAGAATTGAGGAAAATAGAAAAAGGAATATTACTTTCATTTCTCTTTCCGAATAATACCACCATGAGCAAGAAAGAAAATGTGTTAATTTGAAGAATGGTTTTTTTATTTTGTACTGTTATTTGACTTTTTTGAAAATGAAAAAAAAATGTTTTGTAGAATTTCATTTCAAGAATGTATATGAACTAATTTTGTATATACATATTTTTTTTAATATATCAATGTGTAATATGTCTTGTGCATTCAATTATCTAAATTATGAGGAAAAATGGCCACTTAAGAGTCAAGAGTCAACATCCGATTGAGGTATCATTATCTTCAAAACTAGTCTGAATACGGACCTTCTTACAACGGAATATCCCAAGGTAATATAACCCGTAAATGAAAAATTACACCGTAGAATTTTATCAGAGTATAGAATTCCACTGTGAAATTATATAAGAGTGTAAAATTCTACTGTAAAATTTTGTCAAGAGTGTAATATCTCGATATAAATTTATATCGCAAATTTACCCTATAAAGTTTTATTTCAACACAAAAGTGCACTCAAAATGAAAAATTACACTAAAAAATTCCACACTTGTCTTCGGGGTAGAATTACAAAATAATATTCCGCATGGAATGTAAGATCACACACGAAAGTAATTTCTCGCTAATATGGGCGGTAATTAAATTGCCACCGGTACCGGTGGAAAAATTTTTACCAGTGTGTTATCACATTTGCAACTTTTAAGTACAATTACCCGGCAGGTTTTTCAAAATTGTTCATATGCAAAATATGATAATGTTCATATGATAATGCTGAGACCATCCACCAAAGGAACACTCTGATTCAAAAGGAAATGCAAAGAAGCGGCATACATACCGAATAACTACTGAAATATTAGTCGAATCAACGTATTAAAATTAGCAAAGTGTGGAAACCGTCAATTACAAAAAAAAACAGAATCTTAATACATGTAATGTTGAATCGGAATAAGCCAGTGATCATCTAACCACTTAGATGAATACTAACAAAGAAAACCTCATAAGTAACTCACTATGAAATATTTTTTCACCATTCCTACAATTTGATTGTTTTATTTATCATTCATAACATTTGTTTTGAGTCTATTATTTTCAGTGCATTTGGGTTAATGGATTTCGGTTGGCAATATATTGTATATTTTGGGTTCCAAATAGGTAATGATATTCGATATTTTGTGTTTCTCCCAAAGACTCCATGGTTGAGTTTTTGGTTCTTGTTTTTAGGAAATACTTTTGTAGCACTTCTATACATATCTTGAAGGGATATTCGCAGATCCAACTCCATTCTATAGCGCCATATATTAGGTTATTTGCCACAAAAATATGATAGATTGTTTCAAGATGATTATCCCGTGTAATCTAAATATTTTATATATTGGCAGAGTAGATATTATTTTCTAAAGACAAACATTATTTTCTTATCCCACTTCATATGACTATCCAATATGTAATGATGCTATATAGTGTTTATATAGTGATATTGGAACCATCTTTAAAAACGGACGAGGTTTTAAAATTGGTCGCTCAAATTTATTACCAGCAGGTGAATAGAAATGGGGCTTTTCTAAATGAGATGTCATAAGTATGTTGAACCATATTTATGTATATATCTTGTATAGATGCATTTCAACTTCGAATTTGAAATCCATCAAGTTATTATTCGAAAAATAATACGTGTAGTGTTTATTAAACTGTAGTGTCTCTTTGTAAATGAAGTGGCATATATAAGTTAAAGAGTATCGGGTTTAAAACTGTGCCTTGAAGTAACTACTCCATATTTAGAATTTCTGAAGTCCCTAGTATTTTCTTTTTTTTTCACACACGTTGTTGTCTTTTACTCAAGTATACTTATGATGCACTGTTTGGAACCTTTGGAGTAGTAATGAATATTACTGGAGTTCTTTCCCAACACCATATCGTTATTTTTAACACCTCGACACGTGTTTCGATCACCAAGTGATCATCTTCAAAGAGGAAGATTAAAAACTGATCTTCCTCTTTGAAGATGATCACTTGGTTATCGAAACACGTGTCGAGGTGTTGAAAATAACGAGGAAGATCAGTTTTTAATCTTCCTCTTTGAAGATGATCACTTGGTGATCGAAACACGTGTCGAGGTGTTGAAAATAACGATTTGGTGTTGGGAAAAAACTCCAGTAATATTTATTTTTTACTCAAGTTATGAAAAAATTAATAAGTGGAATACCTCGAATACAAATCTTTCTCTCCATACTTGAAACAGAGTACCGGTTGTAAATAATATTGTTCGGCGTTCAACAGATTTCTGGTGTTATTTCAGCAAATCAATCTTTTTAAATCCGAACTAATTTTTAGATATAACTAATATTTGTTGAAATTCCAGTTTTTTTCAAAACTTTCCTCTAATGAATTCGCCGTCAAGGACGGTACTTTTCCATGTTCAATTCATTGCCATTTTTAAAGTGGAGAATGGTAGATAGATAGATATTCTTTATTCGTTCATGTGTACAATACATAATACCCAAACGGGTGTAGAACACGTCAATAATAAAAATAAGTTTTAAAATGAAATAAAAGAGTGGAAGAGAAAACCCGTAGGGGGAAATATAATAGCTTATAAACTAAAATTACATACTGAAAGGATGTTTTTACCTATGGAGCATAACATTTTATAAGTTGTACAATTATATAGGACTGTCTTCAAAGTATTCTTCTAATTTATAGTAAGTCTTTTGTATTATTAACTGCTCAAGTTGATGCTTCATTTCATTAATTGGCATTTTTTTAGATTATCAGACAAATGATTGAAAATGTTTATAACTGTAAATTCCACATTTCTTTGAATATAAGTATATTTTTTAAATCTGTAGTTAAATGTTGTTTGAATCTAGTATTGTAGTCATGTTCTAGTGTTTTGAAAAGTTCATTTTTTTCCCTAACAAATAGTACTGCTTCATATATATGCAGTCCCACAAGGGTAAGCACATTTAACTTCTGAAATACATTTTTGCAGCTCTCGGTTTGTTTCATACTCAGTATGCTCCTCGAGCATCTTTTTTAGATTACCAAAATTCTGTGGGCATCTGTAGAATTTGTCCAGAAAATAATTCCATATCTAACGCGAGATTGTATGTAAGCATGATACGCAGTTAGAGCAGCCTCCTATTTCGAATGGTCGCTTAAGTATATTTTTTCATTCCAGGTGCTATTATTGCTTTCACTAATGTTCGTGTCTTTTGTCTTAATTATATAAAACGGTTTGTTTTTCGACTGACAGTTTCAAATAGTTTGAATTTGATTCAAATGCCTTATTTTTCCCAAAAACAAACAAAGGTATTTGTATCGGGATTTTTTCTCTTGATTTTATTTCACTTCTAGAGAAATTTCCGCATATTTTGTTGAGAAAGCATTCATTCCCTTTTTCCTCTTGAAAAACTCATAGAAAAAACTAACAGTGTCTAATGAATCCTAAATATCTCGAGCTCCCTTCCCTGTCAGTATATTTTTTTTTAACTTACTGTGGCTTCCGTAAGGCGAATGCATCGTCTGGTGGTAGTACCTCGCTGCCCGTTGGCTGCCTGTATGGTCCAGGAAGAAAGTGCCCATATGTTCGGCAACGTTAATGTCCGAATTTCCACCGTCCAACCCCTGTCCGGGACTCCCGGTCGTCCCGGTTCTGGGGGACTCATACCAACGTCCCACCACCGATTCGTTCGTCATCTCCATAATCATGGGTTACTGAGTTCGTTTCACACTACACACACGAAAAAAATGTCGAAAATCCCAAAGGGCTTGCAATTGCGGTACACTGCTAATCACCAATTGTTTCTCTGGTCATAGTAGGCAGGTGTAGCGAGCATTTGTTTCGATGCGACGGTCGACGGCCGCTAGATTTATGGTCGAGGACGATCTGAAAATAAAAAGTCTTTGTTATCAACGGTTGTTGCGAGTTTTTTGTTATCTAGAAATTTGAATGTTATCAAATTTTTGCAGTGATTTTATCAATTTCTCTTTTAATTTAATAATTTTAAGTGGAGAGTAAATATTTGACGTACGATATCGAATACTTTTGAGGTTTATCGGATCGATTATAGAAGTGAATGAAATTTTTAATCTTGTTTTTGTTTAATAAACATTCGAAATAAACTATAGGCGATTTTGATGAAAATACTGGAATCAATGGGGTGTCAGATGATTTTATTGAATATCGTGAACATGATATATTATGATTATTTCATATTCTTGTTCAACGATAATAAATAGGAGTGCACCAAGTTTAATCAGTAAAAATGTGTGGAATTTCATAATCATCGGAATTTTGCTAAGCAAATGACTTTTTTTGAATTGAAAGCATTTTCAAACCAGCTCATAAATTGAAATTCTCGATAAACTCAACATACCGATGGATCTGTTTATGGATTTTTTCACTGATATGTACTTTGATATGAATTCTGAGTTTGATAAAAATAGATTATGATGTGATCATGGAATTATATCATTTCTCCGAAGGTGAAGAGTAGATTTTCATCAGAAATATATCAATGATACATATGTTCAATACATGGAATAATTCATATCGATATAGAAATAGTTTGCAAATAATTAAAAATGAATTTGATGCAATTATGGAGACATTCTCAACTTCTAAATATCTACCAAGAACATATTTTGAAGAGATTTTCGTTTTGGAAAACAAACTCAACGGGCCAAAAGAACAAAGTATCACATTATCATGTAATCAGGTATTATCAGGTAGGTATTACATTATCATGTAATACCTTGTAATATACGTAATGACATGTTTTTCAAATAAAGTTGAACTTTGAAACGAAAATTACACTAAATAATTTTTCAATGTGGAATCCGGCTTTTTCGAATGTATGATTTGTTCAAATATGTTAGATATGATTGGAATATATTTTTTTAAAGGAGTACCTACCTACCTTCTATTCGATATCTGTTTACAAAAAGATTCTGAAAATTATAAAATGTTATTTTTTTATGCCTATTTGAACAACAATATGTTAATTTAAAAATATTTTGGGAATGTTGGAGTATCTATCATTCAACAATAAATTTATTGGAGAATAGTATTAGTATCTACCTACTAAGAAATAAAATTTGCATGCATTCTATGCACTCACTTTATGTTGAAAATATATATTGCACTGCTATAAGATCCATTTTTTCAGTTTCAGTCAAAGTCGAAATTAAAATTATTTTTTAAATTTACAATGAAAATGATGAAGACCAAAGAATTCGATCAATATTTATAAAAGACAGAACCTATTTACGAAAGAAAATATTACCATATGAATTTGAATAATTGAAGATATGTTGAGCATATCAGGAAAATCTCAATTCAAGTTCTATCCAAGCAATTGAGGTGACATTTTTTTCACTCCATTTCCTTTGCAGACTGTTTATGATTTTTTTTTGAATATTTGCATATAGGTATTTATTTAAATTGGCAATTCAGCTGTTAGAAATGTTATAAAATGTGTTCCAATTCAGAGTATGCCAATCAGATGCCAGTTGAATTATTCAACAATAATTCCGTAGAAATTATCAATAAAAATACCATCAACCTGTCATGTAAAACAAAAGAATATAAATTCCTATGAACATATTTATAGAAAAGGAAATGTTTACAGCAATAAATTATACATTGAAATATTCTTAGTTCAATGAATCGTTAAATTACATCATCGATATTAGAATATATAAATTTTAATGATTTCACGACCGATGTTTCTTTATAAGTGTCTAGGATATACCTACTTATAATAACGAACAAAAACTGGAATACTATAGTTTTTTGCATATCGAGCTAAACCAGTTTGTCATCATATATATATCCATTAATTTCAATTAAAATTTACAGAATTATACTTCATTAATTTGCTTGCAAAATAGTCTTGTTGATTTTAAGTTAATCTGGTTTTTTCATTGTCAGTTTTATCAAATGAAGCATAAGGATTTTTTTAAATTTTCATAAATACAAGGGATGTTATTATAATTTTTATTTTTCAACTGAGGTGGTATTTTGGGCGCAGAATGCATCTCTATTCGATTCTATAAACTCCATAAAATTTACCTTGATTCAAATAATTTACTGATTTTACATCTGCCAATAAATTCTAATAATGAAAGTTATGCTCTGGTGAATAAGGGAGGGTATATAATCATCCCAAGATAGTTAATAGGTACTTAGGTATATAAAATAAAGGGTTCCTAAATATTTTGAAAGGCTATATTGAGAAGTTTTGAATGATTATGTTGCCATATTAATAAAAAATCCGATATTGTGGAAAAAAGTATTCGACACAAGCAGGGAGAATACAAAAAAAAACAACTCACAAGATCAAATGAGATATCCTAAAGAGATCATTCGGAACTAATTCACTAATCACAGTTAAAATAATCTAAATGCACATCACTGATATCAAATCGGCCTCATTATCAAAACAAAATACTACACAGTAGATATCGATACTAACACGACAAACAACACGAGCACACTAAATGTTGGGATAGCTGCTTTCATCGGTCTCCCTTGGCAACGAAATTCGGTAAAGTTCGGTACATTCCGCAAAATCCCACACGCGATTGGCGGACAGTTGACGCGGAGGCGGGGCCTACAAGTTGAGGCGGGTCGATAAACGAGAAAGACGTTTTAATTTTGTATTGTTTAGTGTATATTAAAATTCAGTCATCCGAATGTTTCACGACTTGGAAGCTGTAGCTACACAAATGTTTCACTCTTGAGAAAGATGCCGGTTTCCTTATGGATCTTTCCTCTCCCGAAAGTTGAAACCAGCACGGCTGCGTTGCAAGTATAATCTCAGATGAATTTTTTACGTTACGCAATAGATATCGAATATCATTGTTTGCAAAAATAGCTTCTCAGTGATGTTCAATAATATATTGGAATAGTATCCACGGAGAGCTATCAGAGAGGTGGGAGATCCTCCAATACGATAAAGCTTCTAACAAAACACTACTATTTGACAAAATGGCGACCACAAATCAAATGGCCACGCCTCTTTAACGATTGTCTGCCCCTTTTTCATGCTCATGTCTGGCATTGGTTCTCTCTTCAATTCTTTCTTCTTTTTGCATCGGATTCAAGCTGATCCCGTCTTGTAATTCTTTTGTTTTATATCACTTGTCTGTAAAATATTGAGAGCTGCTGCTAATTCTACTGATTCGCCGAATACATTATATGTGTATACAGAGTGGAATTTTGCATCGGGAATGTTAGGTTGTGGTATGAATATTCATGAAATGCCGTGAGCCTATACTAGATTTATGGAGGATAATAAACTACAGTAGGTAATAGATTATTAGATACTGATGTTGAGTTACAGATTGTGAATTTAGATTATTTGTGTTCATAACCTTATCACAGGTATGCGACATTTTTTCATTGTATTTTATGTGAATTAAAACATTTGGAACCAACTTGATAGTATTTAATAATGAACGGTGGGCATTTATGCCACTCTCTGTAAACAGTCTATTACCTATTCTTACTGCTGAATGTAGGTCAGTTCTCCCACTAAAAAAGATACTTTAAAAAACATAATAAGGTGAATAATATACAAATACTAATGTTCAAGGTATGAAAACTAGATCATTCGCCAAATATATAGTGTGCTCAGAACAAACGAAACAAGAGGATTATTTGAATTTGATACATACCTATTTTGATGCAGAGTAATTTATATATAGAGTAGAGTAATTTACTTGACCACTTTATATACAAAGTTATATTTATGGCAAGTCATATATACTATATAGGTACTATGGTCACTATGTCAGACATTTAAAATGAGCAAGAAAGTTTCTAGATCAAAGTATAAAGTTTAGAAATACCTAAATAGAACTGGCATATCAAAATTCCTTAAAATGATCAGTGTCAAATGAATAGTAATAAAATAAATATATCAATATAAAAAGGTCAACAAATATAAGAACAGGCTTTATCACAGCTTTACAATATGAATCATTTTTCCGGTACTATGAATTGACCAGCTACAGCAGCATATTCTTCGATTGTGTAGAAACAGTGGTTGAGAAGATATCTCTTGATATTAAATATGTTTGAAATTTCTGAAATCCAAAGATTTAACTGAGGGATGGAGACAGTTGTATAAATTCAAATTTAGAGAGTTTTTTTGACTAACTGCTAACCTATGTCTTGTATTATTCAATAAACATGCGGTTCTTTTTGAATAATCATGATTGTTAGAGTGTTTCTGAAACACCCAAATCAAAACTCCATATGAAATAACTGCGTGGAATAGTGAATGATATGCCATCTTCAGTGTCATACAACCTACAGCATTTATCAACTGTCTAGGACAAATAAAACACTGGACAGTTTATGAGTAGTTGCTTCAATATGGCTGAACCAACTAAGTCTAGCATCAATAGGAACACCTAGAAACTTAACAGTCTCCTACAGTAATAATGGTGTCTGAGGATATCACAATATTCTGGTATATTTTATCGTTCAGTTTCAGTTTATTTGCTGTGAACCAAGTTGCTAAGTTTTAATTTCTGTCCATCATTTGAGGTAAACTGGTACCTATGTGATTTGTCTGAGCATATGAGGGTTGTGTCGTCGGCCAACAAAACAGATTTTTTTTGGTGAAATGAAGCTATATAAGTTATTCATATTTATGAATGATGAATAATAACGGGCCGAGGACAGAACCCTGAGAAACGCCATAACAAACTGACTTTGAATCTGACTTGATATCGTTGACGTCGGCCTACTGATACCTATTTTGAAGATAATTAAGACCCTACCAAATCGAGAGCAGTGCCTCTTATGCCATAATAACTCAATTTATTTGAAATACATTTTCGTTGTCCGAGAAATATTTATTTCAACATGAGATATTTGTTTTAAATTCAAGAAATTGATTTCTTCCAATTAAATATCTAATCGTTTTATTTATGAAATGTAATCAGTCACATGAATGCATTTGTCTATTCTACTCAGAACTTCCAAAATATCAGTCTACTATAAATGCAAAACGCCAACAGTAAGTAGATACCTACTCAATTAAAATTTTTTTGATTAGTTATGATTCGCCACAACTGGTATATAGGCGGATTTATAATTCTTTGCGAGGTTCACCTTTTTTTTATCGCAAACAAAAAATTTTATATACGCTTCCAAGTCATTGTACCACCTACAGCGGCGTGTGTTTGGGTATGTATTCAAAAATATTCGTTAAAAGTAATAATAACCATGTTCATTTATTCATAAACAATTATTATCGTTATAATATTTTAATTCAAAACATTTACATGATATTATGCTTATTCAAGAAGATATCTTCTTGCTCATATGAGCAACGATTATCCTGTGTTATCATCAGATAGATCCGATGAATCTTCCTGGAATGTTATGATTTGAAGTTCTACAAATTCCTCAACTAAATGGTCTAAATTTCCACATGCTGTTTAATACACATTTTCGCCATTTTTCGGAAACATATATTTTTATATGAAACACCTGTTATTTGCAAATAGAGTTCCACTAGAAAATCAGCTGTAAGATAGGAAAGATTTTAGTATACCTACATGAGAATGTCATATATACCTATGAGAAATAATAATCTTCTTGTTAACAGAAAAAGCACATTTAATAATTCGCTTTACTGCAGAGTAAACTGAATTGAACAGCCATTATAATCCAGGCACTAAGTATAAGTCACAAACAACAACACTGATTAAGACTCAAGGGCTTTATTATCAATTCATATTATTCTCCGGGTGATGACGAGGTACCTAAATTGAAGCACTATTAGATTATCGTCATCGTCATGTTCTACAAGAATTGAAAATATCTCAGACAATATCTGAGATATTTTCAATGCCTGGTTCAATCAGTTAAGCTGTACACTCTGTACAGGTATGTGATCTATTAAAAAGCGCTTTTCATTGAATTCATCAAGAAATTTTATCGAAATTCGAGAGAGAAAACTATCATTGGTTTTCATTAAAAAACACCTAGATATTAAACACCTATCAATGCGAGTGTTCCATATTTTTGTTACTCACTGTATGCCTACAACTATAAAAAATATTTTCTAAATTGGATCACAGAACAACATTGAATCTTTGAATTGAATACTACATTTCTTTACTTTTCAACCAACTCAATTATGTACACCAATTTCCCGTTCTCATATTTCGAACTTATTTATTTTATTTTCAAACGAATAACATTTTTTTAGTAAGGATCAGTTTCTTCGAAGCAACTGAGAGTCTATTCATGTTGAAAAATACCATTTCTGAGATACGTAATAAAAAAGGACTTGTCTATTAGGTATCAACGAAAGCTAATTACAAAATTGCAGTTGTTATACCTACTACAGACAATCTTCATAAGTATATTTTTTAAACAATCGATATTGCGAACTCGTTGAGCTTGTTGGTTTTGGAAAAATGACATATTGGAAAAGAAAAGTTGTACACTCACACAGTGTATTAGTTACCAAAAATTCTGAATTTCAGTGGAAGTACACATTTTTTTGGGTAGGTTCTAGGTATAGTAATTTCAACATATTACCATTTTCCTATCTTGTAATTCATTCAAATAACCCTTCATTGTAAAATACTATTTCAATTACCTATAGTCCATTCATAATTTGTTAATAGCTCACTGCAAGTTGGACCCTCATTATATAGAGAACTGAAATACAGAGAGGACAGCTAATATGATATAATAACAAAAACCAAACTAAAACTGGCAGTTTAAGATGTTTTCGACTAACCCACCTTGTATCTGAAGAAATACAATACAGCTATGAAACTTTTAATCCGATTATGTAGGTATTTTGAGTGGAAATGAGTGACCAGTGTCGTAGAGTATATGATTAAAACATTAGTTACTTTAAATAAATAAATATATTAATATTCTTAAACTGTAGGTACTGTAAACTGTATTTTTATTTAAAAANAAACACCAACGAGCCGTAAATTAAATGCGATTAAAAAATGTACTAAACCAAAAATTATTTTCGTTCGTAACAACTTCACCCTTTCAAGGCAAGTTTCGAATATAAACTGAAGCTTTATATTTAATGAATAAACACCTCAGGAACCTCCGCCTATGATTTTACGAGTTTAACAACAGTTTTATGACTTGGGCCCTCATTTTGTGCTATCGACAAATTATGAACGGACTATAATATTCATTTTCACTACATGTCTGTATCAACTTTGTTAATTCAAATGATATATTGAACAAATTCATGAACACACAATAATTATAGTTCAATACTGATCAATTATTGTGGTGAAAGAATATTTTCGTTATATACGTCAGAGAGAAAGAGTCGGGAAATACCTCTTTGTATGTACACTCGAGAAACATCTAATTTCCTTTCTGTTCAATAGTTTGTCGATGAAGTAGACTTCTTGTGAGACCCGATACATTTTGATAAAGGAAACAAAAAAGTCACCATGTTTATTGCTTCTTG